GTAAAATAACGAATCTGATATATGTATATATATATATATATATATATATAGAAATATCTATAGTAGAATAAGATAATTTTCATTCACGCGAAAACATATTATGGAACAAAGGATCGCGACAGTGATCGATATTAATGAATTCAAGTGTTCATTTTCGCACAGAAATTCAAAGATTCCCGTTATGTCACTCGCGAATGTAAATTTGGCACATGACCAAAAGACTCACCGAAATGATGCTCTCTGGTAACGCGTCCGTTTAGAAACTTGGTCGCTGATTCGTCGATTCGTTTCAAAAATTAACCTGACCTTCTATTTGTCGGATTGAAAAAGAACCGCACTGTAAGATTCGGGAAGGCCATCCGAAATCGAGTCCAGGATGTAACACAATCGAGAGAAACGTAGTTAGATAAATGTATGCGGAAAATAGTCGCACAGATAGACGTCAACAGAGACACACACCCGACCGCGATAACTTTTAGACTGAGGGTTGTTTCGGCGCGATACTACTACACCGCCACCCCTCGACCAGCCGGCTCACTAGACACCAGACCGACGCACCGCCAAACTATCGTGACTAACCAACGAAACTACGAATCATTCGATCACACCTCTTCTGCTGCTACAACTATTGTTTCGCGAGACGATTGGCTTTTCTCCCTAAATCTCGCACTAGTTTTTTTTACTCTTCGGGATCGTTACGTTATTTCGAATATAAAATATTTTCAATTTATTTTTCTTGTAAATTCTGTAAAGAATTTTCTAATCGATCATTCCTCTTTAAATAGTTAACGTTGGTTGAAAAATTTAAACGAGAAATTTACCGCGAAAAAAACGAGTTCAACGCATCGCATCGTATCGTATCGTATCGTATCGTATCGAATAGTTTTTTACGTTTTTTTCCAGCGAGTTTATGAAATGTGATTGTCGTGCATTTATCCTGGCACACGTAATCTTACGATAACGACACTATTAATTTTACACCGCTATACTAAATTCTTGCATAATTATGCCCAGCACCGTTCCATCTTTCGATAAGTTGAAACGATATATTGCGCGATCGGCGTACAAAGTTCACTCAACGTTGGTTATTTTCGAACACGTAAAACGTACGTTCGAAAATGGATGAATTTCTTTTCTACAAAATTTTCCTTTTGTTTCTCGGACGTGAGTATTCTATTTTCGCGAACACTTTAATGTGACAAACAAATCTAGTATTTCGTATATTGCAAGCGGGAAAAACGGTGTAAATGAAATCGTTTGGAAAAACAATTATTTGACGAAGTTTTCGAATATCTTCTTAGTGAGAACGAGCGAGCAGAAACTATCTTCGGAAGATCGAATCGTCGATGGAGCATTTATCAACATCACGAATGTTCCATACATGGCAAGTAGCTGTATCCATTTTCTTTTTTTAGATATCTAGAAAAAAAAAAATTAGAAAAAAAAAATGTTTTTCTAACATGAAAATTCATGAGTTAAGAGAGAGAAAAATTAATAAAATGATTGTTCATAATAGTTATCGTACAGAGTAAATAACAATCATGCATGCGGTGCTGCTATCATTGATAAAGAATGGGGATTAACTGCCGCTCATTGCGTTACTCCGTAAGAAGTTGTTCTTTTTTTTTTTTTTTTCTTCTCAAGATCAAGCTTCCACTCCCCGTTCCATTGTTATTTAACATCATACATTGAATCAACAGATTTGTCAATAATCCGTCAGTTTCGATCAGCGTACGTAGCGGATCTAACAGACACGATTTCGGTGGAATTATTCACAACGTAACGACATTTTCGTATCATGAGAAATACGATGATCAGAACAACGATTACGACATCGCGGTATTCAAAGTCTGTCCGCCGTTCGATTTTAACAACACGACACAACCCGTCAAATTGCCCGAGAACGTTGAATCTTTCGACACGAATTGGGGTTTAATTGCTGGCTGGGGTTACTTTATCGTAAGTTCGCCCGTGAGGAATAATTTTTTTCGACATTAAAAAGAAAAAGAAAAAAGAAGGAAACTGCAACGAACTTATATATAGGATATCGACCCGATGTTGTCGGAAAAGCTGCAATACGTAATCGTGCCGAAAGTGAGCAGAGAAACGTGCACAAAGGACTATAAAGGCAGATATGAAGTGACGGAGCGTCAAGTATGTTACGGATTTTCACAAGGAGGGAAAGATGCGTGCAAAGTAAATCAATAATTTATTTTAAACGATTAAAACGATTTTGTTTGTTATAATTTATTGTTTCACTTCCTAAGTATCGTTCGATTTTATGAATAGGGTGATTCAGGTGGCCCACTGGTTAATAATTCCACTGTAATCGGTATTACCTCGTGGGGCTACGAATGCGGTGAACCAGACTCGCCTGGCGTCTACACCAATGTAATCGATCTACTAGGATGGATCATGGATAAAATTAGACCGATTCAATGATTTTTAATTCGATCCGGTTTTTCAGTTTGAAAATATGAAATTGGAAATAAATATTTCTTATAAAGAGAAATTATTTCGAAATTTTGAAATTTAACGATAAATTTATTTCTCGAGCAAAAATGTATTTTTATGTTTCTCACACACTTTGACTCGGTATGATCAACTCGACGCTCTCTTCGTCACTGGATACGACAAATCTGGCTTTCTTATAGCTCGAAAGATTCATTTTCCTCCGAGCTGACCACACTTCGTAACCAAGCTTATAAAACTTTGGTAAACGATCGAAACCTCCAGCATCAGCCAACGAATCGTTGTACTCCCATTGTTTGTCCATTAATTTGTGCGCGTGCCTTTTCTTCGATGTCTTCAATTTCGAATCTTCCAGCATGATCGACCTCGCCGGTAAACTTATTCTTTTCTCTAACAGTGCGAGAAAATATTGGATCTAAAGAAAAGAAAAAAAAATGTATACATTTTGCACTTGATGTGTGTCATATATTTTCCTATTCGCATATTTAAATAATTTAATTCAATTATTACCTGCATATGAAACATGGGAAATGGAACAACGACAGTCGGTACGCCAACGATGCACATGCAGGGATGGTTAATATTGATTAAATGTTTGTACAAAGGAGTTATAAAATTGCTATCCACCCGTATTTCACAATTTTCGTCCAAGAATGGAAAGCTGTATCGATATCCTGTACAAAACATGAATACGTCCGCTGTGACGAAGCTTTGATCTTTCAGGAAAATTCTTTCTTTCTCTATTCTTTCCACTCCCAACACCTCGATTATTTTCGATGGTAAATTGCTATTTAACCTGAATGTATTGAACATTTTTAATTTTCCAGCCTACGTTTGCGCAATAGCGAAATTCAGAAATGACGAAGAAAAAAAAAAAAATACCTTTCGTTATTGTGACTCAAATATATTCGAGTTGCGTGGTTAACCAGATCGAGGGCAATATCGATACCAGAGGCTGCTGCGCCCAAAATTAAAACGCTTTTACCGGAGAAATCTTCCGGTTTTCTGTATGAATGGCTATGCATTACGGTACCCGAGAAATTTTCCATTCCTGGTATAGTTGGAACATAAGGATCGAAATAATGTCTGAATTGTATAAAAATTGCATATAAAAAAAAGAAAAGAAAAATTAAATCTTTGTACGTATAAATCGTCGATATATTTAATTATGGAAAAAAAAAAAAAAAAAGACGCACCCGTTGCAAATAATCACAGCGCTGAAAATAATTTCTTCTTCTTGCTTCGTTCTTAACATTTTTATTCGAACAACCCATTCTTCTTTATTTTCGATCGATTTTTTTAATCGAACAGATTCTACCCTTGCATTGAACTGCATGTAACATTATATCCTCTTAATAATAGAATAATTAAGAACGTTCGAGTATTTATAAGAAATATTTGTGAGATATATTTTCCCTTACTTGAACATATTTTAATAAATCAAAATGTTTCGCGTAATTTTGTAAATAAGTTCGAACTTCCTGATGCGTCACGCAACAAGGCTCTTCGGCGTTCAGTCTCTGGTAATCAGGGAAATTCATAATTTTCGCTGGCAAATTGGTTCTACAATAAAAGTGAAAATTTCAATATTTGAATTTAGGTTACACGAACGCATAATTCTATAAAAATGAAATGAAAATATTGCGCGAGTATTAAACCTTAAATCCCGATACATGCTCGAATGAACGGGCAAACCATTTTCATCGACTCCAGTTTTTTCTTTGTAAATCCATGTGCCGCCGATATCATTCGTTTGTTCGTAAACTTTCAATTCGAAATTTGAATTTGGCGCGAAATGTCTTGCTGCGCAAAGGCCAGCTGCGCCAGCTCCTATCACGCACACTTTCGGTCTCGACAATTCAGCCATCTGCAATTCGTGCGTAACCTATGCGCTAATAAAAGTTTTTGATATCGTCGAAATTTTTCTACAAAAAAAGAAAAAAAAAGAAACGATTTTTTTTTTTACATCCTTCAATGTCAATATATGAATAGAACAAATTGATTTCAATGTGCTTGTAAACGAATTCGTAAAAAATTGAAAAATAACACCTACAATCGTCATTATTTCAATGCAATAATTATTTCGATCGAATATAAAATTATTTTTTAGTAAGTACAATTACGTTTACAATTTGGAAAAGAGAAAATCGAAAAGGGAATCGCGAATTATCGTTATTAAAATATCTAAGCGTTATCTTTTCGAGTATATTCGAAAACACGAAATAGCTTTTGGCTAAGTCTACGATAGCACTTACGACTGTACACTGGTATTGTAAATTTAAACGATAATATTTTATGCACCTAACACGAAAGTTTGATTTCCGTCGACAAAATTATAGTTTTCGTTCGTTGCTCTCGTATTTTATATTCTTGAAAAAACAAGGAGTTATTAAACAAAGAGAAAAGAAGTGGAAACGGAAAAAATAAAAAAAAGAAAAACCTCAAACTTATCTGCACAATATTATCACAACTACTATGCGGTTTGAGAAATGACACTTTTGATAAAATTTTCAACATCTGTAAACATACATATCTTATATTTAAACTATTCCAACAGTGGAAGTAAAATATTTATTAGTAGTATTTCTTATAACATTACCATGTAAATAATCATAACATTAACTTCATAATCTATATTAATGCTCGATTTTATTACATACCTAGTATTGAGCAATTAATTGTAAAAATCTCCTTGTTACAATGGTATATATTCTGTATGTGGTTTTCAGTCGTGGTATCGTATTAATCAAAACGAAGATATTAAATAATTTAATGATTCTATGCATAGTAAATTACTTTTATGCGCAAATATCGAATGAAATACGCAAATACTAATTCTTTAAAAACAACTTCTTTAAATAATCAATCTCTTTAACTTTTGTAAAACATGAATTACAAAAAAAAAAAAAAAAAAAAAACAATTCTAAACATTGTAAAATTTAAAAATATTGTATCGTATTGAATGGCACAAAAGAAATGTTGTGCCATCAATTTTGTTAGAAACACGCGTTAATCGCGTTCAATGGTCGAAATCAGGCTGTATGTGTAAACCGGTCAAGCTATAAAAAGTTTCTCATATTTTTATCCTTGTGGCTTGTTTCTTTATCAACGAATTCCTTATTATTTAACTTGATTACGTCTTATTTGTATTTTATAATCGACTTGTTCGACTAATTTCTATATATATATATAGATCATTCAAATATGTTCAATTTACCTTCGAATAAAAAGAACGAAGAAATCATTAGAACCTGTTCCAATCACCTATCAACAATTCATAGCTTCACAATTTTTTTTCTTCTTTCTTTTCCTCGTCTTGTACGATTCATCGAACATCGGTGTGCCCGATTTCTTCACATTATCACAATAAGCATCCAACGATTTGTACATGAACAACTTTTATTGCAATTAAAACACGCCCACTTAACAAAGCGTAAAAGTTTGACACTATCGATCACCATTATGCACAAATCGTCATTGCTCTTACTCGAATCCATTTTTTGTTTTTTTTTTATTTTTTGCTTAATAATGAAAAAAATTCGCTCTTTCTTTGCGCAAAACATTCGATTTTATAAGTTTTGTGATTTTTTTTTCTTTTTTTTTACATCATCAGCAAAACAGATTAATTAGAGAAAGTGTAGATTAATGTGTAGATACACATAAGTATACACAAAAATAAACTTGATCTAGAATCCATGACGATATAAAATTGATCAAACATACAGTGCAATAAAAAATATATGGAAAATAAAAAAAAAAAAAAAAGATTGTTATGAAATTATAAATAAGAATTCCTTTTAAATAATGACACAGTATATTAAAAGTATTGTGCAATAAAAGTTCAAGTTGATTTCTTAATTCTTTCTGAAATACAAAGATTCTAATATTTGATAAGTATTGGCAATATTATCGATCGACACTGTTTCATTTATACAAAAAAAAAAAAAAAAAAAATAAAATAACGTTATCCTCTTATTTTGAAAGATCTATTTTTTCCTCGATAAAAAATAATCGTCTCTCTTGCTTATTCTCAGTCTATTTCGATAAAATATATCGATAATCGCTATGCACTTCCTTTATATATGCGGGGAATCTAATTCAACGTTAAATATCTTAGTTATCAGTGAAAATGGAATTCTTATAACGGGTACAAATTAAAGAGAGAATGATAACAAACAGTTTTTGTATGCTTAAACATTGTACGTACAATAATGGAAGAACAACTGAAAAAATATTTAGCAAAAACAACAGACAAAGAGAGAGAAACAATGCTAACGTCGTTATCTCTATTCGTTTACAAGTCGACGATAATTAATTCACTTTAGCCGAAAAGATGCCCTCTTCACATCGCTCCATACTCTAATCGTCAAACTATAAATATTTTCAATCAAATATTATACAACGCACACAAACTCGATAAAATGGCTTCACTCCCTTTTTTCTTCCCTTCATTTGTTTTACTTCTTTCTCAATATATATATATATATTGTTAGGTTCGCACGTATCATGCACGTACGCGCATACGTAACCGAAGAAATTTCTGAATTCGTTAAATCTATACGTGTAAAATTTCCATAGTCATTGTCTGGAACACGCGCTCTCTATCCCCGTTCATTTATAAATCAAACAAATCTCCAATCTATTCCCACAGTTATCCGTATCCTTTATAATTGATCCCATTTATGAAGACGCGCGTTATTCTCGCGTCCGTTTGAATAGAAAAATCTTTCGACGAGGGATAGGATCCAATAGGCACGTTTTAGTTTAAGTTTAGCTTTCTGGGAATCGGAAATTCGATCCGACAAAAATTCGTTAAAAGGGCGTTGCTAAGCTCCTTTTCTTGTTTTGCCGTGTCATGCGTCACAAGTGTCCTTCTTTTACATTCCTAAAACGTTAATGTTTTCCTAAAATGTCAAGAATACATATATGTACATATGCTTTGGCAAATGTCCTCTTTCCTTTTTATTATTATTATTATTATTATTATTATTATTATTATTAAAACGAACTACCTCCCTCCTCGTGTTTCGCATTTACTTACGTTACAAGAAAAAAGAAAAAGAACTCGAGCGAACGTTGATTACAAATTAAGCGCATCAAATTTCACTCGAGTTGGCCGCAAAATATCGTTTTTTTTCTTCTCTCTCTCTCTCTCTCCTCTCCTCTCCATTTATGTCATCGGATACATTCAACGTATTCTCGCAAGAAGGCAAAAATAAATTGTTTTCAAAGACTCGTCGTAAAAACATTATTCTCATACGATAAGTAAAAGTAAAATATTCAAAATATATATCAAACAATATTCATTTCGATTTTTTATATACAAGATATTATCTTACTCAATAATCGTGTAAGCACACCATCGGATAGATTGACGTGGATAAGAAAATACAAAAGTTAATATACTGTACTAATTAAAGGAAATGAAAAAGATGCCCTCTTCACATCGCTCCATACTCTAATCGTCAAACTATAAATATTTTCAATCAAATATTATACAACGCACACAAACTCGATAAAATGGCTTCACTCCCTTTTTTCTTCCCTTCATTTGTTTTACTTCTTTCTCAATATATATATATATATTGTTAGGTTCGCACGTATCATGCACGTACGCGCATACGTAACCGAAGAAATTTCTGAATTCGTTAAATCTATACGTGTAAAATTTCCATAGTCATTGTCTGGAACACGCGCTCTCTATCCCCGTTCATTTATAAATCAAACAAATCTCCAATCTATTCCCACAGTTATCCGTATCCTTTATAATTGATCCCATTTATGAAGACGCGCGTTATTCTCGCGTCCGTTTGAATAGAAAAATCTTTCGACGAGGGATAGGATCCAATAGGCACGTTTTAGTTTAAGTTTAGCTTTCTGGGAATCGGAAATTCGATCCGACAAAAATTCGTTAAAAGGGCGTTGCTAAGCTCCTTTTCTTGTTTTGCCGTGTCATGCGTCACAAGTGTCCTTCTTTTACATTCCTAAAACGTTAATGTTTTCCTAAAATGTCAAGAATACATATATGTACATATGCTTTGGCAAATGTCCTCTTTCCTTTTTATTATTATTATTATTATTATTATTATTATTATTATTAAAACGAACTACCTCCCTCCTCGTGTTTCGCATTTACTTACGTTACAAGAAAAAAGAAAAAGAACTCGAGCGAACGTTGATTACAAATTAAGCGCATCAAATTTCACTCGAGTTGGCCGCAAAATATCGTTTTTTTTCTTCTCTCTCTCTCTCTCTCCTCTCCTCTCCATTTATGTCATCGGATACATTCAACGTATTCTCGCAAGAAGGCAAAAATAAATTGTTTTCAAAGACTCGTCGTAAAAACATTATTCTCATACGATAAGTAAAAGTAAAATATTCAAAATATATATCAAACAATATTCATTTCGATTTTTTATATACAAGATATTATCTTACTCAATAATCGTGTAAGCACACCATCGGATAGATTGACGTGGATAAAGAAAAATACAAAAGTTAATATACTGTACAATTAAAGGAAATGAAAAAAAAAAAAAAAAAAAAAAAAGAAAGAAGAAAAAAAAAAGAAAAAAATAATAAAAATAAAAGGGAACGAAAGAAAATATTTTATACAAATTTTACGTTTCTTTACATCTAAACTACGTTACGAACGAATTAGTTACACATGCTCGTTTCGAATACGCATCAAAGAGATTCTCTCTCTCTCTCTCTCTCTACAACATTCTCGGCCTATACATATAGACTCGCAGATAAGAAAAATCATACATTGTGTGTGTATATATATATTTGGCGTGAACCTTTGATTCGTACTGTTGAACGTTTATTTATTAAAAATATATCTTGATTAAAAACAATCTGCCAGTAGATTTAGCATTTTTTCTTTACAAACGATACAACTCGTTAAATAATCTAATAACGAAGACGGAGTGAGTCTACATGTGTTGGTTCACATACAAGGACTTTCGATTCAATGATTCGAACGAGGTATATAAATATACCAGTTGAACTGCGTGCATCCGTTTAAAAACACGCACGCAACTACAACTTACGCTTCATATTTTTTCTTCAACATCATTCTTGTAATAAATGTCTATGCCATAACACTCAATAGGACAACAAGCATATATATATATGCATATATATATATACACTCGCACAATCGAAAATATATAATTCTTCAAATGTGCATTACGTACACGCTAAAATCACTTGGTATTCCATTGAATATCGTGGACATCGCATGTAGACAGAATAGTAAATTATCTTCAAATTAATAAATCGATTTCTAATTCAATATACATGTATGTATATATATATATATATATGAGTCGTAGAAAAAAATGTGTTTATCATAGGATCACGTAAACGATACTGATCATGAGTCTTGTTTGCTTATCCAAATTACTGAAGAAACGATCAACGGGCGGATTGTTATGAATTGTATGTACCAAATAGTATATAACTTTCAATAAAATCACCGTACAACAAGTTCATTTCATTTGTATATAGTAATTCATCATAAATATATAAATATCTATAATTATAGAGAAAAATGATTTTCAATCTTTCTCTTCTTTCTCTTCTTTTCCATTCTTCTCTATTCTTCTTTATTAATCTTATTGCTGTTTGATCATACCATATATATATATATATGATGGTATAATAACGTTCACAGATCATCGTAGTAGATACTCACACAATTTTTCATTGATCACCCTTCATCGATAAGAATTCCATGGGATTAAAGAAAATTCTCTCTTAGTTAGACGATCGTTGACAGCCACGCCTTACGCAATCTTCAATCAGCCATTCCATTGATTTATTTCGTAAATCTTATTACACAATCGTATTTAATGATCAGTGGTGATTCCAATATCCAAACAGATGAGA